GCGAACGCTACCGTACACAATTGATGCGTTTGAGCCGAGCATTGAAGCAAAAACGGCCGGAATATGATCAAAGACACGACAAAGTTATACTCCAACACGACAATGATCGACCTCACGTCGCAAAACCGGTCAAAACTTATTTGGAAACATTGAAATGGGATGTGCTACCCCACCCGCCGTATAGTCCAGACATCGCTCCTTCGGATTACCACCTCTTCCGATCAATGACACATGCCCTTGGTGATCAGCGCTTCCAGTCTTTCGAGCAAGTCCAAAAATGGGTGGATGATTGGATCAAGTCAAAAGACGGAGACTTTTTTCGCCGCGGTATTCGTATGCTGCCAGAAAGATGGGAAAAAGTCATAGCTAACGATGGCCAATACTTTGAATAAAATACATTGTACCATTTTTTCTAAATAAATGTTAAAAAATCGAAAAAAATCCTTTAAAATTAATTCCAAGTCCCAATAGATTACGAAGTTTTGAAAGAAGACTTTTCTTTCTATAAGTTGTCCTATGATAATTTGTGATCTATAAGTAATTATAACTAAATTTATCGGTGTTTGTTCTTACCTCGCCGAACTCTGTAAATTTGAGTTACTTCGATTTGTCTGAGGACTGTGTTGCATTTGTTGTATCGCATGCGCTTGTTCCAAGTACGTCTGATATTTCGATAGTTCTGATTTGTATTTTTCCAATTTATGTTCAGACTCGTTCAATTGACCTTCTACAGTCATCGGATCTCCCAAAAGAGAGTTCGCCTCGTAAACAACTTTCATTTTCATTAAACCATCACGAGCGGCCGTTTCAGATTGGATCTTTTGCTGAATCTCTTGAATTTTGGCAGTCAATTTTTTGCGTCGTTGATTTGGTGGTAGGTCACTGTAATCCTCTTTTGCACCATCCGTTAGCAAATTGTTCTATGGATTTGTAAAGAGAAGCATTGACCATTATTATCATGGTATTGAATTGGCTGGCTATGTAGCCGCTGCTATACGATAGTGGCTGTCAACATTAGCTGTTGGTTACGTTCTTGTGCATGCGACACACTGTAAGCCATGGACGCCAGCTTATACATTCACACGGTGCTTTGTGTTTGTGTACTACGTGCGTGCATGTCCAATTGTTCATTTTATCTCACCTTATTAGTGTTGAACATCCAGAAGAATCCTGGTCGCTTCTTAAGCTTGGATGCGCTAATCGTTGATTTCAATGTATGATGATTAAAAACTTTGCTACTAATTTCTGAGGGACTCGCTGATTCTGAAGGATCCATTTTTGATAAGTCTTCAAATTTGATATCTCCAGGTGGTGTGAAACCCGATTTATATCTGAACCACGACAGTTTAATTTTTAAATTATTGCTTAATTATGTTAATGTCACTATGCAAATGTTTTGTTACCTCTCTACAACTTTTTGCGAATCTTCTTTTTCGTCTATTGACTCGGCAGCTTTACTAATACCTTCGAGACATCTGGCAATAATTGGCGCTACAGATAGCTCAACATCAGCTGAACGTTTAATAAACTCCTTCATTCCGCCAGTTCTTTTTTCATCTATTTCCTGTAGACGATTGAATACGTCGGGGATTGCGGCTTCAAAATGTTGCTGTTGTAATTTATTTGTTTTCTGTAATTGATTGGCATATTCATTTTTCGAATCGTCCGATTGTTGATTCTTGCTGGACATGTTGTGCCGCTGTTTCTCCACTTCAGCACGACTCAAGTTTAAGTCGGCATCAGCTCGCTGATAACTATCGACCGCTTTCTCTGCATCTCGGTAAGATTTTTCATAATTGCGCTTAGCTCGTTCGAGTGAAGCTATTTGTAGACCCAAATTTTGCTGATAAGTAGTGCCATCGGTTAACGCTTTCTTCCGTTCGTCTTTCAAATTTTTCGACAATAGTGTAATGGCATTGATAACTTGAGCTTGCAGCGATTCCGCTATGACCTCACGCTGACCAGCTAGATCGCTTATTTCGCGTAAAACATTTCGGAATGCTTGCCACGATGTAAACCTAAACAGTTTCAGACATGGAGCGAATGAAAAAGAAAGAATCAGTTAAAACAGCGTTATGACATTACGCCCAAGAAAAAAACCGGTAAATGCAATGAACAAATCGCGATCTCAGTTCAATTATAAGTTATAGATCTTTTTACATAAAGAATTCCAATATGGTTTCTACCGTTAGAGAACTACAGAACACACTCTGTATGGAAATATCATATGAGATTGTACACTAATTATGTAGCTAAATGTTGAAAACAACGCATTTACTTACTCGTAGTCGTCCTCCTCCTTCTTCTTTGGTTGATAACTTTTGACAAGTCGCCTGAAATTACAACGAAAGAATTGTCCATTAGAGATTTTTTCGGTATCAAATAAAACTCATCAAGAATACAATTGCAATTTTCTTCGAACGAAATAATTATTATTTATTATGTTAGTATTTGTGTTTGGTATTATAAATACTTTCATACCAGTGATTTTTTTTATTAAAGTCAATCCCATAGGGGATTTTTTTTCCACGGTGATCTGATCCATGGAATTCAATTTTATCTTTAAAAAAACTCAAACAGGTTGTTACGATGAAGGCGCACGCAGCAATAGTTTTTTTTTCTACTTATCCGTTATAAGCGTAAAACTGGCTATAGATATGTTCCAATTCGCAGTTATACGTGCACAAAGCAAAGATTTTTTTTGTTGAAAATATTTATGCTACTTTTTGGCAAACAAATTTCACCCGGTTTGATACGGCACCTTTCCATAGTTGTGATAAAATGTACATAAAAACGTGTTTGATTTACCTTAACTTTGCTGCATATTCCATCTCAATGGTACACCGATCACGAATAAACACTCCATATTTATCCAAGAAATCAATGCCCTTCTGAGTATGTGTCGCGAGGTTTTCGAACTGATCCTAAAATATAAAAAAAACAATTGTAATGTCAGTCTAAAAATATTTAGATTGCACATTTCTTCCATACCAAAAATAGGACAAAAACATGACGTCGGAATTAATTTATTTTAAAGTGCAACATAATTTGTTTCATATAGAGTTTTTGTTTTAAACGCTATTTTAAAATTACGTTAATTAAACAAATTACTAGTACATATCTATTAGTGAGACGTAAAAGAACGCAAGTTGGTCCAACTTCGTAGCAATAAAGAGAAGTATGTTTCATTGCAACTAATAATGGTTAAAAGAATGTATGTTCGTTTTTAGCGGGTCCTCGCGGTTTTTCACGGTTCCCGCGGAACTGATAAGAGATAACAACTTGGTATCTTCGGTCAAAGTTGTAGCACTCGAGGTCTTCTATAACATTGCTGAAGTCAGTTATCTCTTATCTCTTATCAGTTCCGCGAAAAGCGCGAAAAATGATGAGAAAAAAAAAGTTCTATATAAAATTTGCTTTTTTATGTGCGCGATTTGCGCGCAACTGATAAGAGATAAGAGATAGATGTCTTTAGCAATGTTATAGAAGACCTTGAGTACTACAACTTTGCCGAAGACACCAAGTTGTTATCTCTTATCAGTTCCGCGAAAAGCGCGAAAAATGATGAGAAAAAAAAGTTCTATATAAAATTTGCTTTTTTATGTGCGCGATTTGCGCGCAACTGATAAGAGATAAGAGATAAGAGATAGATGTCTTCAGCAATGTTATAGAAGACCTTGAGTACTACAACTTTGCCGAAGACACCAAGTTGTTATCTCTTATCAGTTCCGCGAAAACCGTGAAAAACCGCGGAGGCTAGACGAACGCAGATAGAATCAACAGAAAACATACTTTCCTTTTCAAAAATATAAATCGACAAAAAAACATACATTCTTTTACGTCTCACGAATAGATATATAGTACATGCGAGTGCATGAAGCAAGCAAGCGTGCAAAAACTGTTCTTGATAAGAATTTATAAGAAAGTTAATGGTGAAAAATGCATGCTATGCCCAGTGTGAATTGGAGTAGAGTATTACTGTTTGTTTGTTTATTCCACGAAGATTTACTTGTCAATATCATCACAATTAATATATATGTATTTACCCGCAAACGAGTACCTATGTAGCCGAAGCTGCAAGCACCCAATAGTATTTTGTTTTTTAGCCAAACTCTTTGACGAAAATATTCTAGCGAATTATATATTGACGAGAATGAGAATACTCCGGAATATTCAATACAGTCAGCTATTTGACATCGCCTCAATAGCCTAATATGCCCGTTTTCTCGATATTGTCCCTTAATGTTTCAAATATACTTGACATTGTGATTATTTCGCAATTCGCATTTTTTGAGAGAAAGATTCTGGGGACTTATAATTGTTGTTGATCAATTTTTTCAAATGTTGGTACAAATTTTTCCCGGAAAGGAAATCCAGCCAGCAAAAGTGCTCGAGAAATAAAATAGTTTTCATAAATTCGAAAAAATGGGATATTTTATTCATATCGTAGTTGAGATTGAAACATCGAAAGTGTTTAGATAGAAATAAAAATACCGTTCTTTCAGTCATGATACTCTATCATCGGGATTATGATTGTTGTCCGAACGTCAACTTGTTTTCAAGAGTTAAGACAAAATGGAGATAACTTCTTAAACTCTGCAGCAAATGCAAAATAATATCATTTCCCTTTTTTGTAGAACTTACCAAACGCATACTGATGAAAAGTCATATAAAAAGCAGACAATATCGAAGTGATGAACATAGGAAGTATGTTTCTGTTCATTTTTAGTTGTTTCATTTAAACAATTCAATGACGAAAATGTAAATGTAAAATGTATAAGTTACCGCTATTCCTTCTGACAGAAGAGGTTCGATGCTAAAAAACGACTTGATGTTATTGCAGAATCGGCTATAATCAAGAATGAAAGAGAATATCTTGATGGTTTTCGTTGTAAATAGTGATGCGTTTTTTTGCTATGCGTGGATTGGTTTTCTGAGATGATAATAGGGAAATCCACTTTCGTGCATATCTCAGAATGCAATGTTATGGCGGCGCAAACTGTTTATGTATCGTCAACAACAAATGGCAACTGGTTGCTATTATCATATGTATACATTAAGCGTATGAATATGAACATGAATATGTATTTCTTCTTTGAAATTTATTGGCTGCACGTAAAAATGTTGCCGACATCCCAGGAGAAAATTTATAAATTATACAAAATAAACGGCCGGACAGTATCCAAAACTGCTCAAGTTCCATGGTTCTGAAATGTGTTTCATAAAATAATTGTCTATACCTTATTCAACAGTTTTCAGTTGATTTTTTTCATTAATATCAAGATACAAATACAAACGCGATAATTCAACGCATTCCTTGAACATAGCTGTGCAACTGTTTAACTTCAATTAAACTCTATAAACTGGTTAGATTGATACGATGAATAGAGGTACGAATGACTTAGCTATTGGAACGCTGATCGGAGACAGCACAAAATAGAATTCAGATAGTATGGAATTCATTCTAATACGCTAATCAAATTCCGTCCAGTGCTATGCGTGGATCAATTTTCTGGGAATTTTCAAGACTTATAGACAGACGCTTGTAAGACGCTTGTTATAACGTCACTTATGAAAATATACACTTGTGCATTTTTTTTAATCTGTTTAAAGAAAAGCTTGAAATTGACAATTAAGCGAAATTTCCTCTCTAGTATTTTTATTTTCTGTAGTTTGCTTACCCGCAACAGTAACACGCATTCCATTTGAAATATTTGGCTAACCATAACATATATGAATCACGTTTTAGTATCAATAAAGCTAATGAAACGGACATTCGGACATTGCGAGCATTCCAAAAAAATGCCGTTTGCACATGTGCAAAGTTTTCTTTCATCATTTTATATAATTTTAGTTTTACTTTCAAAATATTCCATGTTAAATGCATGTTCACTTTTGCAATAATAAAATAATATTGCCTGAATGTCGACACATTCATGGTTAGTAAATCTGATGGAAATTCAAAAACTGGTTAAACGATGTTAAGAAAAAGTTTTGAATGATTATATTTTCAATTGTCAAATTATGCTTCATGTCCTATGTCCAAAACACATCGTATGACTCTTTTCCGATTTTCTCGATAAATACGCAATTGTTCAAAAATCTGAATATGAGGCTTTTTTCTATTCATCGTGGCACATAACATACTATATATCGAAATCATTCAAGAACAAAAAATGCGTATTGAAGAGTTAATGCAAATTTATTTTGATATATAAAAGCATTTTTTGTCTCATTGAAACGGTTCGTATGTTTTAAGATTAAGAAGTAGCAGTTTTGTGTTCAAGAGTTGTACATATATTTTGAACACGATAGTGAATTTTATTTTGCCATTGTCATGTAAATGTAATATAGCTTCTAGCATATTTATCAAAGCAGATATATTGCAAGCAAAATATGACAGTTGCTCTTACATCAGGTTTGAATAGGTATAATATATGCCACAAGACCGCCAAGTTAAACCATCGAGATAAATACTGCCGACAGATAAGATTTGAGGTTCCGAAAATGATTATCGCTTTGCGAGTCTACTTCTCGTATTTTTTTGTGAATGTGTTTGGAAGAGCTTTCTATTTTTGATGGTCACATGCATTTATTCATTCGATATATGTGAACGAAAACGAAGCGTATATGAGAGGGAAGCCGGAGCTTGAAAGTGTTTTTGTAGAAAGAATTTCCAATTCAAGTAAATTTCCAACAAGTACTGTCTATCACATCGATTGAATGAACAAATCATAAATGACACCAATTGTGCAATATTTGAATTTTTTTACAAAAATAATGTAATATTTTTACGCTTCATGTATTTCGATATGCGATCGATCTCCTATCATTGTAGATTTAAAAACAAATGTATGTTCCACACAATTTAGCTATGTGTATCATTCAATGTTGCAAATTAAATTCACTTGAAAACGTGACTTATTAATATCCATTGATAGATACGCTAACAAAAAATTAACACGTGCAACAAAAGTTTATTATTATTGTTAAAAATTCGATTTGCATTTTTTGTGCAGAAAATTCGGTGTATGTAAACGTTATGGCACATAATCATTCAATTGAATTATAAATGCAGGGAAATTTCAACAATTACAAGTTTTCAAACTGGAACTAAAACTAACGAATTGTAGTTCAGATCACATATTGATGAGGTATAGAGAGGAAAGAAGTCGAATCAATCATCAAAATGACAACAGAGGAAAAAATGAATGAAGAAAAAGAGAAAAGAAGTAGCAGCGAAAAAAATATGACTCAACAGCAATACAGAAACAGAAACAGAACGGGCGCATGCTGTTATGTTGCCTGCACACATTGCACAAACTAATATATTGAAAACATTCTGTTATTGTTGTTGTTGTCGTCGTCATTGGGCTTGGTTATACGACCACCATGTCAACATACAGTAAAATTGCGAACACACACATACATGCATACATACATACATATGTATACGTACACATACTCGTTCATTCGCTCGATGTCGATGGCTATAATAATGAATGTCTCTCAATCTCGTTATATGCCGAATGTGGTGCATGTAAGAGATGTGCATGGAATGAAAAAGGGCGAGTCAAACTGCCGTTTCTTTTTCCTGGTTAAATATTCGCTCTCCTTCTCTTTTAGCGAAATTCAATCGAATGAATCGTTGTAGTCTTGGTAAAATAAAAATGGTATCGATTGGTAAAGCCGAATAGCACAGTTATTTGTTGTTGTTGCGGTGAATATTTGAATTCAGTATCAACTTCTTCAAAAATTTATATTTGACATAATTATAATAATGATGAATGATTGAAAAAGCGGTATCAATATGGAATTTTCAATGTTTTGATATTCATATGCACATGAAATACATCATCAAATGGAACAACTACAAAAATGATTAACAACAAATCAATTCAGTAGTGCAAATTTGAGTCGATTCCACTGCAATGTATGTATATATGCGTAATGGAAATAACAAACAACTTATGCGCACTTCATATTCGATTGTTTCATTGCATCTATATCATTCTTTATAGGTAGATTACGTATGCATGGAAACGCAGAAGCAGTCAAGTAAAAGTAGAATATACTATTTTGTATTTCGTATGTACACACAAGCCGAAATGTGTAAATAAAACCAAATTCAATGCAATATGCAAAACACTGATTTCATCTCATATGAAGATTCTTTTACATTGAGAAAAATTGGAATATGTTCCACTTGGTTTGCGAATTTGACTGCCATGGAACTGAAAAAATTAATCTACCGCACTAGAAAGTTAGTAAATATCAAAAACCTCTACTCTGATAGCTCAAAGAGCTAACATTTTTGATACGAATTTGTCCAACTTATTGAAATTTTCAATCATCATTTTTTTTCGTCGATATTGACAAGTAAATCTTCGTGGGACGAACGAGCAAACAGTAATACTCCACTCCAATTTACACTGGGCATAACATGCATTTTTCCTCAATAACTTTCTTATAAATTCTTATCAAGAACATTTTTTCCACGCTCGCTTACTCCATGCACTCGCATTCGTTGCTGAACCAGCTTAGTCACTTATAATTTTGTATTAGAATTATTTCATTTCATTGGATAAGATGGTCTATGTGGAAGCAATTGAATTCACTTACCCAAAGCTCGGTACCCCAACTCATTTTTCCCGTATTGCCTTGTTATTTAAATCATTCAAAATCAAGTAAGGACAGACAATAGTACAAATAGCTGGGTTGTGTCACTGTATTTATTACTTTGTTTTTGTTTTATCCTTGTACAGATTTTAGTGGCTGTTCGATAAAAGAGAGTTCACTTTTTTAACTTCTCGTTCGTTGTTGTTATTTTTTTGATTTCACGTCTTAAAAAATATAATTCGATCGCTTTGCACATTCACATCATCAATGCATGTGTGTTAAATATGTATGTAAATTCAGGTTGAATTCCACAGTGAGTGGCAAAGTTTTGAAAGTAGAAAAAAAACACACACACACACACTCAGAGCCAGACACACGAAGATATAGTTGCTTTATGTTTGGTATATGAATTAGTGGCAAATCACTTGTTATTCAGTGTTTTTTTCCTCTATTGCCGCGCATTTTACTTCTTTTTCAGCGACAACGTCTTTCCGTTGAATACTTTTTCCTTTCTATCAAACTTGATAAACGAGAGTTCATATCAAAAACAAATGAAAACTGCGTTGATTTTATTACGCTTAGTTGACTTATACTTACACAGAGACTTTTATAATTATTTTACTGTTTATTATCTTTTATTATCGATAGATTTATTTGATTTATAACTATTTAGCAATATTAAATAACTTTGAACTTTGTGCTTCCAAATTGCATTAAAGGTCATTAGAAAGAGTCTAACCCAAAATATTACACTCGCCACTTTACTGGGCACAAAGATATACAATATAATCGTTCCTTTATACTCCCGACTTATTCGTAGGCGATAAATATGAGTTCAACTTTCGACAAGCACTGTACAATGTTGTTCATACCATTCGTTGATTGAATAAATGGCATGGAGCAAAAAAAAAACACTTTCGTTGGTCGATACTGACAAACTCTACAAATTTTCTCACTTCATTCGATATCTCTTTCTGCAGATGGAATTTGGTCGTTTTTGTGCACATATATCAATTCTATAAAACATTCACAAAGTTCAAATATCCTGATTGACTGAGAACTTGTCAAAATTATGCGTCATACAGAAGACTATTTCAATTACTACTATTATATTTTGATGTTGTTTTCTATTTGTTGTATTTATTTTTCTCACTTTCTGTCATTTGTTCAATTGGATCAGTGGCAACTGATATATTCATACAAAAAAAATGTCAAGGAAATTTTTTCGAGACGCTTGATGTGTGGTTGTATAAATTGCAAGTGAATAACTGAGGTTACTACATGATCAAAAACACTTTGAATTTGATGGTTCACACACGCACACGTACACATACAATCACGTACCCAAACTCCAACACTCATACGAAAACACACATACTTCCTATAGAGTGCAAACAAGCGGACAGAGTCAGACAACGTCATTATAATATAGAATGTTGCTATTTGTGTCGCAGTCTATGCATGGATGCGTGTTCGTAAGTGTGTGTTAGATAGATGCTAATGTATGCGCATAAAAGTGTCGAGTGGCACAAAATAAACATTCAAACATAATACTTAACAAACGAAGTCATACTTAGCGCTTTTCATTTTTCAACTTTATACTCTGTCATTGCAATTGAATAATTTCTTGACACCATATGCTTCAACTGGAATTTGTGTTGCCAGAAGTTAATTCGACAGAATTTTTCCTAAGCCAAAATCACATAGTCTCAAAACAATTCGTATTGTAATATTGTAACGTTGTGACAGCAGACAAAGACGGATTTAGTTCTGGAAATATGATGTGGCTTTTGGTTTGGCAATGTAAAACCAAAACACCACCAATCGAACGGTCCTGAAAGAAGTAACGGTCCTTTTCGATGGTTATGGAGTCAAATGCTCGGCTCGTTTAGTATTATACGAAATTTTGAACAAGCATCACATATTTGGTCAAATTGCAATACAACGTGATAACATAAAGAAAAATTTATAATATTACAACCAAAAACTTTGGGATTGGCACAAATCTTATATTCAGAAAAAAGTCATTTTTACGTGCTGCATGTAAGGAGGATTTTCAAGTGATCTATTTTTAATCGTGATTGTGTGATAAAATCTCCATGTCGCCAATAAGAAAAATTGTGAAGAGTTCAGCACGAATGAATCAAGAACTGGATTTGGAATGGGAGCTGGTGAATTCAGAAGTTTGGGTAACGTATTTTTGTAACTGCAATTTATTCTATCAACTTGTTTTATTGTCATCTAGCGGAAACTATGAGAAATAATGATAAACAATGTACTTAAGGTACAATATATTCAGTACATGGTATATATAAATATATATTCGATAATTTGATAGATATAAATGAACGAAGAAATGACGATCTTTCCGTAAGCAAAATATAAACACGTTATGTACAATTTTTAATTCTAACAAATTAGAATTTAATGAATAACAAACGTTAACTATGGAAAATTCTGAACAAATTGAGTACCACTACACTACCAGTACTTGCACAAGACTTCACGCACATTACATCCCAATGCCAGGCTACAGAAAGATGATAGAAAATATTTGACATTTCAAATGTACTTTGACTGTTATACTGCAGTGACTGACGTCGTGCGAGAACGCAAATAACATTGCAAGAAATGCAAAAGTGAACTCAAAATATTTAGTTTTCCACCTCGAAATACTCATGGTTATTGCAAAGCGTTCGCAATTGACAGTCGTTTCTCCGAAAAACAAGTCTTCTGTAAATAGTTTTGAAATTCATCAACAAACTCAGTTTCTTTTCTCTATTTTGATAAATTCGGTTTACTTTGCTGTGATGATTCTGATTTCGATCGTACGTTAAATTTGGATTCGTGATTTATAATGTTTGAAAAGGTAGTGAGTAATAGAATAATTGTGAGACAAATCGTTTAGTTGGTACACTTCAAAATCTTGTACTCGTTTATTTGTTGACTGTTCAAAAAGAAATCAATTGCAGATCAGAAATTCAGAAAAATAATAGACAAAAAATAGAAATGTCATTGTAACAGAAACAGAAGCATAAACAGAAATAAAAAAACGTGAAACAATTCTGTCATACCGTGCTTACAATAAAAAGTATGTCCGTTTGTTTCAGTCAATCATTAATCATTTATCATGTGTTTGGCGAATTTTCAAGAAATATTGAATCTTTTTTCGTGTTATATATTATTTGAACAACGTCAAATTGCTTTCGTGAATTTTCTCGTATATTGTTCAACTGCATAAAAAAATTATTCCTTCGTAAAGATCTCCGTTTCGTTTCGTTTGCATGCAATTTTTGGCATAGAGTTTTTCAGTGCGATGTGCAATTGATATATTTGAAGAAGAAGAAGAAAAAGAAAAATCTACACATGAACGAATATATGTAGAAAATCTATATTCGGGATTCGAAACATAAATACGAAATCACGCGAGAGGAAATTGTGTATTTCAAACGTGTACGTGTGTACTATTTGAGAGTGTGAGAGAAAGGGAGATGCTATGCCATCTATGTGTTCGTGCACTTTATTTTTGGCATCGAATTTAATCTCATCACACATCCTAGTGCATCACTTCAACTGTGAACCGTTCTTGCGGTACTTTGTATAAGAATATATATCGTGCGCACGCTATGGTACATGATGTCCTCCATACACAGAGATAAAAAGCATTCAGAGCAAATCTGTCTAAATAACCTTTTCCTCTCCCGATCATAGATGTGAATGTGTGCGCGCGCGAGTTCTCCTCAAATCCCTAATAAAATGGCGGGTGTGTCTCATTATTAGATATACTTGCTGTGCATACAGTTAAAAAAACAGCAGCAGTGAAAAATATTAATCTGTGAATTGTGAGTCTTCGTCCTGATTTCGCTGTTTCAAATGAACATCGGCTCACGCTTACAACATGAACGATTAGAAATGACTTGTGTTTTGAAAACAGATAGATTGTGTTTGTGCTCTCTGTTTCTCTATCAGTTCGAGATGCATCCCGTTAACTCAGTTCGATTACCATAAATAGCAGAACAAATCAATACATTTACTGTTTCATGACTGTCATCGGAACAGCATACAACACAAATATTCACAGCGACTCGGTTTCAAAAACAGAAAACACATCCCAGTTTGTTTTTCATTTTGAAACTACACAAATGCATCTCTCTCTCTCTCTCTCGTTATATTTTTGTTTTGTGACTAACTTGAAGTGAGACTTCTCCATTTTATCTTCCTTTGCCGTTATTTGTACAACCAATTGGAAAGAATCGAAGCAAAATCGCTGTTCTATCTGCGAAACAATTGGAGTTAATGTTCAGCATCCAACTGTATATTGCAACCCAGTCGAAAACAAATGTGCATGATTTTCGTAGCAGTCAAACAAAACAAGAACAATATAGTACCTACATTAAAAATCGCATCGATTCTGAACGGAAAGGGAACATTGAACAACCCAATTGAGAAAATGATTAAATAAATTTAACAATAATGACATCTCTTCAGGCAATTAAGTCCAATTGAGAGTTTTTTTTGTTTCAAAAGTAAAATAACACATATGGTCTTTGAGCGTATGCACGAATAACAACACAGTACAGCAGATCCCAGATACTGTACAAAACCAATACAAGTGCGCCGATTCAAACTATACGAGAGGCAGAATTCAAATGATATGAAAAGTGTAATCGCTTTCACAGTAACATCGCACGCTCTCTCTCTCTCACTCTATCTCTCTGTTTCTTTCTCGTTCATTTTGTGGGACAAATCATACATTCTCTGTTCCATAGGCTGTGTTCATCAGTTTGTGTTTCGTTCATTCTTAGCTGTCGACCATTCAGTTTTGTGCTGTGTAGAGTTTGTAAGAAAAATCGTCAAGTAAACGACATGGAATAACACTGCTATTATATCAAATTAAAGAAAAACACATTTATTCACAATCTACTGGTTGAATTCGTATAGATGAGCTCAAACGTACAGATTTATGTGTTGATGATACCACAATCTGAGTGAGATCTATTTTGAACAAGTAATTTCGGACGTTTTGTGATAGTATTGTTCTATAAGTCAATGGCACTGCCCAATGCTTGTTTAAAGCATTTCATTCATTTACATAAATTTACGCAACGATTGATCGATGATCCTAGAAATCTATTAGCTGTGCGTGGAATAAAAAAACCATCTAAAGGACGCAAAGCATCAATTTAACGAGCGTGTAGTCATTGAAAACAAAATGAATTTCTATTGAATTTGACAATAGTGTTTGTGTATAGGCTTTTGAATTTCAAACAACGTTAACGTAATATATACATATGCAGTTGATTGAGTGAACAAAATTGACTGAAATTGAATGTAATATGTACAATGTACATATTGTATTCCTCTCTATAAATCTAATTCAAATTGGTGTTTTCCTAAACGGAACTGTGTGTATTTGTCTGTATGCGCTTAGTTTTGAAATAAATGCCTCAGTCTTGGCTAACCTGTAGCAGAGCCAATATAAAAGCAAACGTTCGAAATTGACAAACAAACAAGGGTTCTATAGAAATATGGACCATTTCATGCATTTTCCAAAATGTTTTTCTCTCTATTTCATTTTTCATTTGAATAAATTTTAAGTTCATTCTACTTTCAACATTTTGGTTAGAAAAAAAAACTATTGATTTTTTTCTCTCAATCAAAATCTTGGACTATTCTCGCGTAAATGCTATAACTATGTCTAAATTTACGTTTGTTTTTAATTTCGAACCGTATTCAAATTCGAGGAAAATTTAATGATAAAGTGGAGAAACGGGATCACAACCGAAAAAAAATCTGATCTTTTACTACGCAGTGAGTTTAATGTGTTCAATACGTATTTTCTTCAGGATTCAATAGAGTAAATTATAAAGAAAAGAAACAACAGCACTCAAATAATAATCGTGAAAATCGTGTGTAAAAATCTAATTAATTAAGTGCAATCAAGCTGAAGCAGTTGCTTGAACAAATTGAAAACCATTTTCATCAGCCAAACTGTATTCAAAAGCTGTCAAACTGTGGGGTTCAGGAGCATTTTTTCTACCAACACAAGGGATGTATTACCCGGTAATAACAATTTTAACATATTTTAAATATTCTAGTCTATAAAGTCAGGTTATTTATTTAGTAAACGTCGACATCAATTTTTTGTTTCATTTTCCATGTTTCCATACTATTTGATTTAACTTTGATTTGTTTTTTGAACGTTTTTTTCTCTTACAAAATATCAATTCATTCAATCGAATGTGTGTTGCTCGAACGTACATACGAGATCAACTTGCTCCGTTGAAATGACTATTCATGATTATCGAGTGTGTTGACAAATCAATTTTTTCTTTGTTTAAAACTAAGAATAGTCAAAAAAAGCAAATGAAATACATACATATTTACACTACGAGTAACGAAGTTAATAAATATTGTCGGTAATAATTTGCATGATCAACTAATACCATCGATGGGCGAATGAAATCTCTTGGCGCATATATGCGTAGATGGCCGTTTAATCCAATGTACTTAATCGAGAAAATATGAATAATATTTCAATATCTTAACTTGTCTTTTGTGTGTAACGCAACAAAGAGCTAACGAAATTATTGAGAAAACAATTTTTTCGGCCATTGAACAACGGTTTTGGATTTAAAGAATTTTTCCCTACAAAAAAAAAGTCAATTTACTAACTACCAGCTATAGTCTATCGTCTGTAGCTTGTGATAAGAGTCCCAATCCATAATGTTACAAACAGCATAAATTAGAAAGTACCATTTTTTTCTCAACAACACACATAGTTAACGTTTGTGTGTGCCATATGTTGAATTGACAAACATTCCGAAGGAGGCAATTTCAATCTTTGATGCAAGTCAAAAGTTCAAGATTTCAATGATTTCAGTTGCTGCATTTTGACTCATTTCACATAGCACATAAGAGGTTTGTGCGCATTTGGGTTCTACTGTAAGTAAATTATTCATTCAATGTGCGTTAGTTGATTTATATGCCTGGCAATAATAAACCATGAACAACGAACCAAAGATAACAAAAGAAGTAGCGAACAAGAATATGTAATGAGCGAAACAGAATGTCGTGTGCTGTGTGCCATTGCTGATGATGGAAGAGCATGAGTGTACTGGTGTGCTGTCGCTTCATTCGTCTTTCTTCTCACGATGAGATTTGTATATATATGAACATAACAGCTAGCTGTCGCGCTCAAACACACCCTAAATGGCATTCTGAATTTTTCACTTTGACGCTGTTATAATTCGCAAGGCGACAAATCCACAAAGAAAAGTATATTCTGAATGCAGTATATATTAGGCCGGCTTATTGGTTTGCGTTCACGCGTATGCCTTTGTTGTCAGCCCCGCACGCGCAGTGTGGCTCATTACTAATCGACTGTGCTACACGACTCACGGTCGGTGCAACATACTGCTCGTTGATGTACGCTTGCGTACGGAGAGAAATGGAATAATCACGAGGTGCCACACGCAAGTATAATGAGCGACTATTTTTTTTCTTTTTCGTTTTTTCGGAACAGGACAAAATGGAATAACAATAGCTCTCAAACATACACACGTATATATATATATACATACATAAATATACTTCCTCACGTAAACTTGAAGCGCTTCTAAGACGAGAGCGTATTACAAATAATTTGATTTGCAATGAGACAATAAAAATATAAATACATAAATCCGTGACGGCGGTGATGATGGTAGACTTCAACGGAAGAGAAACACATGTAAACGATGGTATTTTTAGACAAGGAAAAAATAGTTGCTTCAAATGACAACAGAAACTTCGTAATAGTTGAACATACATGTGCAACAACGACACTTAACATTCCCAAATGTTTGTTCCCTGCTTTATTCTATGCATGCATGCATACAAAACATGGTATATAGGGCCAAAAATAATATGCGTTCATTCATCCATAAAGTATGAGAGTAAATTTCATCTCAATCGCATTGTGGTTAACCCAATCAAAGCGACGGTTCAATATGGCACCAGTGGAAAATACATTGAATATCATCATTTTGAGACATCTCTGCAGAGTTAGGCGACAAACCGAACCAATGAACTCAAAAAAGAAGTTCACTGAAAAAATTGTTGTTTATTCAAATCGTATATATAAACACTTAGAACCGACAAAGACGTATACACACAGAGATATAAAATACTCTGAAAGCTAAAATGGGCTGGATTTTAATTGATACCAGCCATATCGAATCATACCACCATATCCTTTCTTGTTATAACGAAATGGTTTAGCCAAAAGCCTTCTGTTCAATAAAACACGGCGACAATTTCTGTAGAACAAAATATGAATGTCTTGCAATCGATAGCATAATGTCGCAATAAATTCAAAGGACGGAAAGAAAAGGCAAACCTCAAAGAATCGTCTAACAAAATAGTACACTTTACAAGTTTACTGGTTCAAGCCTTCATACATGTTCTGTCCTGAATTTTCATTATGGTTTACGAATAAAAACTGAATTCCACTCATTTGAAAATATATATGAGGCTTGAGACTAAATTTGTGTTTATTTATTTCATTTTCCATTCAAGCATATGGTACAAGCTGGTGTAAATCCATTCCCAACGGGGCCAGGATTTCCACCTGCACCAACACTAACCGCTTCAACTGATGGCATACCGGTTGCAGTAACCGCCGTCAAAAATGATGGTGGCTTATGCAATGCTATGAAGTCAGACACTGCTGTCAGCATTTCACCAGCCATTTCGCAAGCGTTTTCAAGTTCCATTGGCAGCCAGTTTAGTCCATCGGTTCTGGCCACACATGCTGTTCCAATTACACAACAACAAACAACAGCATCGACATCTCTTCCGCTTCCATTGACAAGTGTAAGCATAGCAAATGCACTTGAGAAACAGCCACAACCACCACACCAAACCCAACAACAGGTAAAGTGAATAAATGTGTGACTCATTGCACCTATATCAATCTTTATTTTGATGCAAACACTCGAGATGTTTGTTTCTAGAAGAAAAAAATGAAGATTTCCCTCAATGGAGCTGTTAAGAATAATAAGTGGCAAATCTTAACAAAGTGTGTGGAAACAGGAACTTCAAACCATCGTACGCAAGAGAGAAAAAATTCTGTTATAGTAAATCCAAATTCAACTGTATTAAGTGTCTCTTATGCGCACAAAGGGATTTATGTTCTGTTTATGCGCACACCTACCTAAGGTTTACCATTCACTCCCATCAGCCCAATTTTCTTACATAAAAACCGATTTTTCAAGATAATTTTTTATCAATCTATTAATTTAAGCAACCACAGAGTCAGCCACAGCAATCGCAGCCGCAATCCCAAGTACAAAACGAAACGGAAAATGCACAAAATCATGCTACACCAGGGACTACACAAAGCACTACTACAGTACCTACGGTAAGATATTCACAATAGTGTTGATGGAAAATTATCAATATTATATTATCAATCATTCTCATTTATAAAATTATTTTTATTTCATGGTCACATTAGCAACAATCTCAACAAGAACAAACTCTCGAGGCTAAAATCGCGGCAGCTGTAGCCGCAGTGTCTACCACACCAAGTTCATCCCTTACGACAGCGGCTTCAACACCCACATTGAGTAAGTTTACTTTTTCTTCAGTTAATTCGGTTCTCATTTCCATGTTTATATAATAATAATATTAGTTTCATCAACAGTAACAACATCATCCGCGGTAAATACAATTTCCGCATCAACAGCAGCTGCACTCGCAACGATGAATACGTTAGCCAGCACTGTTACTGGTTAGTCAGCTGAATGCGTTTTTTTATTCTCTATTAGTTTAATATTATGAATTTTCATTATTTGTTTCATCTTCTCCTTACCACAGACTCAAGAAGTCAGCCAAAACGCTTACATGTGTCAAATATCCCATTCAGATTCCGGGATCCAGATTTGCGGGCCATGTTTGGTGTAAGTATCTTTTGTTTCAACATTTTCTTCATAATATAAAAAACAATGAACCCAATCAAATTTGTCAACTATTTTTGTTAATTGGTGTTAATTTGAATTCGTACTTTTCTATTCACAGCAATATGGCACCATTTTAGATGTTGAAATTATTTTTAACGAACGTGGCAGCAAGGTATGTCTCATTTTCATTAAATTATTTCCGTTTTGGTTCTTGCCTTCATCAAATAGATCAAAATTGTTTAACTAAAAATCAGAGCATGAGTGTCGCGCAATCAGTGTGTCGGCTCGTTACGATAATTTTATGACTCAATGTGAGTGCCAATCAATACCCAAATTCAATGTATAAAAATCACCGATTTGGGAGATTTTGCGTTGGAGATTTTTAATATTGATTCATAAGAATTGCACACAGGAAAACGATCAATATGAGCTGATCACACTGAGCACACGATTCTTGTTGTTCTGTTTAAAACAAAAATGAAATATTTAAATGAAAATATATTCCTTTTACTAATGTCAAGTTTAACATTTAAATGAAATACCGTTTTTGGCGTTACACATGTTAGATTTGAAAATTCACTAGCGGATGTTGACGTTTTTTTTGAACAGTTATTTTAACAACATGTTTCATTTTATTTTAGTTGTGGTTTTTCTACAAATAATTTAAAAAAAAAAACTAGCAACGCTTATTCTATTTTGGTTTGTGCAACAAACTATATAATCTTGTGTCGTATGATTGAAAGAAATCAACAGTACAATTTGTCCATTGTGTTGTTGTTTTTTTGAGTTGCCATCTCGAATATTGTACAAAAATTATATTGACTCACAATCGTTTACGTTGTTGTCATTTGCATACTTTGTATTCCCTTTGGATTGGTATCAAATATTCGTTCAGAGCTTATTGACTTTGTTGTTCACTGGTTTTCAGGTGCTAAATGCATTTGAACAAAATGTTGGATATTATTATTTTTTGCTCGAAAAACGAAATTTTACAGCAGTACTACAAGTTCTACTGTTGAAAGTAAACTTTCGAAGCATCAGTTTTTGATTCCAACTTTTTCTGTATAGAAAAATACCAGTTCTGATAACTTATTTATGAAAATCTCAATCTCAACCATAGAGTCAAAGAGCTATGATTCTTTATATAATTTTTTGCATTATTCAACATTGTTGACTATTGGATTTATTTGATTGTGGAAATCAAACGTTTACTGTACAAATATCTGAAGAAACAACAAAATTGCAAACCCAAATCCAAATGTTGCCCTACCCATCTAACAATTATCAACCCAAATACATCCGATTCCAGGCACATTTCCAAGGTTGAATACGGGGATAGATTTAACCGTAGAAGTAACCGTCATAGTGATCCAATTGTGCATGGAATGAAAGGAAAAAATTGCATAAAATTAGCTTCAATACATTCAATACTCTTATTTCAATTGAAAAACAATTTACTTACATGGGTACTTCTGGCCTCTTTCGAGTTACGCCTACTATACCACAACAATCAGGCATAGCGGAAATAACATAATGTTATATTTTAATTTTTAAATTATTCAATGTGAATGGCGTGAAATACATGAAGCTGGTTAGTTGTTGACAGCAGCTCGCTGGTTGGATGGCCTCTGCAATGTTTCGGGTAACTCGTACCCAAACAAGTCACAGTGTCCTTGAAAATCATACAAGAAAACAATGAATGATATGTAAACAAAGCACTGCACCTCACATCACATGCAATTCAATCAATATATTATGAGCACTTACCTTTGATCAGGATACATTTTGCACCGGCTATGTCACGATGCCATTTTGTCTTGTGTACTCGTGGCTCGACAACTTCTATCTCACCAACTGAATTGAATTTCACGTATTCCAAATTTCCAAGCCCATTTACTTTCCATGTTTTGTGGTAGATTGCCACTTTTGGGAGTAAATCTGGGTTTAGTTGATCCCCGTGTGAAAAAATAGTAACTGAGCAGTCAGTTAACTAATTTGGGACAAAAATGACTTACTTTGATTGACATTTCAGTACAAAGTGTAGTGTAAGTCTATCATAGTTAACTGAAATCATTTGAAGTTACAAGTCAATCTAAGTTGCTCCATTTGGGACCAAGTGATTTTCTTAGAACAAAAATATAAATTCAATCAACTAAAGTCAACTGAAGTTATAGTCAGTCAGTCATTTCTTTTTCACACGGGTCTGGATGTGGGACATCATTGCCAACCGCTGGATTTCCGTTGCCCTCTTCCGCTTCTTTCTCGAGCAAAAACAGTTTCAGCTTCTCGTGCCTCATCTTTCGTTTGTTGACCTTGCACACGATCATTGATGGCAGCATTACACCAGCCGGTCGACAATCATGGCAGACTTTGAACCGATGTCGTTTCGTGCGTCGATCAAAACGGCCGAAGCACTTGGCGCATGTTTGTGAAGTGTAATACTCGTCGACCATATTAACCACACAACCACGACACTTTTTGTAGCTTCGTATCATTTTCCGATTGCCCGGGCAACGCAGTGTCTTTTTGATACCGATGGGTGAACTGGGCGACATTTGAGCAGCTCCGAAATGCATGAGTGTTGGCTGATGGTTGGTCAACATTCCGGCTATGCTATCGGTCACACTGTTTGCTCGAACGTACTTGTCAAAATTCAGTCTCGTGTATTTGTCTGTCGTATACACGGCAATGCCACGTTCCGTCATTTTGAGTCGATGACGAATGTAGTCCTTCCAGTGCCTACCCAATGGCGATGGCATCACCGGATAGAGCGCACGATTTTCACGATCCTGCCTCTCTTCCTTGACAAAGTCTTTGGTCCACCGCTTTCCCTGTCGATTTCGAACCTTTTGCTTCGTTCAGTAATGATACTGTTTGCTGCTGATCGTGTAGTTCGTCTAAGAAACGAAACAAAACAGAACAAAGAAAACCGTTTAGATAAAAATGACAATGACAATGGCATAACTTTGGTTTATCAAATGAACAATGCACGCATATTGTTTACCTCTTTGCCAGTTTCGATGTTGTGTACCGTTGTTGCGTTCCACGTATTCACACCCGGATCAGTAGCACCTTCATTGACAAACTTTTTGTAGTTTTGAACAATGGCCTTTTTGTCCGATTCCATGTTGCTCATTTTCGTCATGAGATGATAGATTTTCCGCATATCGAAGCATTGGCCCCAATAATACTCCTTTTGTTTTCTGAACTCGTCCTGTGTGATGTTAAGTGGTACGATTTCAAGTTGACGCAACAAAAAGTACAATGTACGAATGTCCAACGTGTAGTGGGTACGAGTGAAACTGCAAATTGGAATCACTGCCAGATTTTTCACTCTCGGCGGCCCTTTCTCAATGTACTCATTTCCATTTTGGCCTCGATCAACTGGCTGCTGGCAAGTGCACGGACGGTGATTTCGACGTCGGCATCGATTCAGCTCTTGAAACTCTTCGCGTTGGCATCGGTGTTCTTCACGATATTCCTCGCAGGTGTTGAAATCATCAATTTTCCGCTGGAGGGAAATCCAGAATGCGATGCTTTTGAACCAGTTCTTCCCATTTGTGAATAGGCCGATGTTGTTGTCTGGTATGTCCCACCAACTGTTCTTCGTGACCATTTCAATCAACAAGTTACGCCGCTCACGTTTGGCAACATCATCCATGCCATTGATTTTAATATCGTCATTGCCAAAAATTGCCAAACTAATCACACGGTCGATGTCGGCCTGTTCGTATCGAGCAACCAACGAAGATTCGAACACTTTTACCCGCAGCCATTCGCGCAGGCGTTTCTTGCTATGCGTCTTCAAGTTGTTTTTTACGTTCGTTACGTACGTGTCAATCAAATCATTCATTGCATTGCCGAAATAGTCTGCGTTGGGCCAAACCACTCGATGGCTATCGTCCAGCTCATGCACCATTTTACAGATTCCGGCGACATTTTATCCTTCTTGTAGATATTTTTCTTCAGGACACCGTAGAAACACGACCGAATCACCTTTTCGCCACCCTGTTCAAAAAATGCTTTGTCATTGTCGTCGAATGCGCGCTCACAACGGAACAGGAACAACTGCGAGGCAAGTGCGCAAATTTTCGTTGCCATCATTGATCTTTCGGTGATGGCTGCAATCAACAAGTCACGGTATTCTGGCCGAAGAATGGCACGCAACTGCGTTTTGACGGTTCTTATGCCCGAATCTTTTTCACTTTCCTCCTTTTCATTGCCCTCCTTAATCACGTCCTCGAGCACCGCAATTGGCTTCCCCTTCTTTTTTGCTTTTTTGCGCTGGTATCCCATCTGTAAGAGAAAAAAACAGAAAAAAATGAGGAAAATTAATCAGATATGATGTATTTTCTACCTAAAAACATTGACTAAATTACTTAATTTGAAAAAAAAAGAAAAAAAAACAATCACTGTGAATCGAACAGTATGCACAACAAATGACTTGCCTTTTCAAATGCTCAGATCAACATGAATGTGCAACCGGCATCAGTTTGACACATCAGTTTGTGTCGACATAAATACCGCAAACACGAATCTGCACACTGTGTGTATGTGACAACTCTCTTCAACGCGCAAATTTTCGTGACGAAATTCGGATTTGACTGGTGTCGATGCACAAACTCATGCGAAATATAATCTCATAACGGAACCAAAATAAACAAATACAACACCAAGCCACAGTAGCGAATGAGTCTGTTGTGTTGTGTTGTGTTGCGTTGTGTGAAATGGAAGAGATGTGTCGGTTATGCTGTTTCTTTCTAATTTACGCGCCCTAATTAGCTAAATAGCTTTTGCTATAATTATTATGATGAACTTCTACTAGCGTAATTTTCAATAGACACAATCTATGCAATTGGGCCACTTTTCATTCTCTTCTTCATTATCTTTCTGTAAGCATCTTATGCTATCTATTGGCAAAATGAAAGTGCGCGCTGTTCAAATATTATGGTTCACGATTCGTATTAATCTACGAAAGAATAAATTGGTGGCGCGACTACAGCACATTTAAGTAGCTGCCAGTGAAGCGTCATGCGATACAAAATTAGATCGCTAAACATTTTTTGCCACGATTTTAAATCAGATTTTTGTTCGTTCATAGAAAACCAAATATTAAATGACATAATACGAAATGTGTTACACGAGACCCAACTTCCACCTGCTTATCTTCACATTTTGAACAATTGTAGAGCGCCATCCATAATTGACGGCAAAATCATCTGTAAATAGCCGTAAGTGATTTCGACATATTGTGAAATGTTGCGAAATCACACCAATTAGTACTGAATTTTGCCGTCATTTATTACACTTCGTATTTTGTATGTATTCAATACAAGATTATATGCGTGTGCCAACTTCATTTATATAATTAAATACTTGAGCAAAGAAGTGTGTATAATAAAACACTACAACTACGAGGTGGTCACATTTCAATTTAAGTTTGAATACTCTTTTTTCCGCAAACGAATGGCCGAACGTTCGTTGACAGTTCAGGTTTTAACATATTATCAATCATAACAAATAGACAAATAAGTATATTTTTCACCAATTTGCAAAAACAAAGAGGAACAATGCAATTAGAAACATGTTTCATAAATAAAGCTTCGGATTTTCAATAAAAGTCGTTATTCTAAACACAACAATGCTTATTTTGGAACAAATATTAATTGTTTTGATATTTTGGTTTTTTTTTCAATATTCAGACTGTACATTTTTGTACAACTATGATGTATTTATTATTGTTGGAATTGATCTTTACATCTCATCACACATTTTTTATTGTAAAATTAGATTCGAATTGTGTATGCCATAATGCGTGTTTATGAATTTCATTCGAAAGTAGTATGTGAAATTGAGATCATCCATAATTGACAATCGACAATACCAGTAGCGACGCCTTGTGTCGAAGCCAAAGTGCCACAGTTCAAATTCAATTTTCGATGCCGTATGCTTGGGTCGTTTTCGCATTTAGCCTATGTAATCAAAATCGGTCATGGCCTCGGTCATGGTGGATATATGCAAAGAGGCACTTTGAAGTCGTGTGTGCAAATACGACACTTCGATAAGATCTGACTTTTGTTCTCAAATGGAGTTTAGTGACATTATAGATACGTTTCGCACCAAAAAGCCCATACCGTTCATGCTATATTACAGTAAACTCTCGATAAAAGCACCTAAAATGTATACGAGGTAGTTGCAATTTCCGAAAAATTGCATTTCTCGGCTGTTTCCAAAAACCTCGTTTTTTGATTTGTGTAGATTTAATAATTACGATTTCCAAGAATTTACTGTGCTGAAACGTCGATTTCCTTTGCGTTTTCAAAAAAAAAAAGGTCCGAGAAAACGGATCGCTTCTTTCCAATACCACTATTTTTTTCATCGACTTACTTGTAAACTAGTAGTAAGTAAGTTTGCCAAGATCTTCATGAACTGCTGAAAATAAATACCACACGTTGTCTAAATGTTCGCAGAAACGGGTCTTGAATTCGTCGTATGCGAAAAAAGCACTTCGAATTATTAGTGCGCAAGCGTGAATCTTCATACTGTTCAACTTCGGTTTGTCCATACAATTGATTGAAGACATGTCATAAAACAACTATTATTTTGCTCATTTTTTAAAGCCAAACTGAATCCAATTTGAAGAAAAAAAACATATGCAGTTCATAAGTGGTTTTCTGGTTTTCCACCATGTACGCGAATTAATTATTGATTATTCTCACACAAATGAACAGTATAGCATATATATCTTATGCGAAGGACAACCTCACGCACATCTTGAACCACTATAACTACACAGTAAACACGATGGTTGTAACTTTTAGAACCGCAATATGAAATTTGATCAAAATGTACTATATCAAAAATCAAAGCTTCATGTATTTATTATAGAACTTTGAACTTTTTCTAGAGCAAATGGTACGAAAACAAAGTCAAGTGTCAAATCTCAACATTGCTAGAATCATTGTGTTTACTGTGTACACAAAGAAAACATAACCTCTAAATTTCATCGCAAACCAGGGTAAACCATGTATTTAATGGTGCTGAAATCTACTTTTGCGATGAATTTTATCCACCCGGCAATATTCTGTCAATTTTTCTATGTAAAACATGGAGTGTGAAATAGTAGAGCGCCACTACTGGAGAACGGCAGAATGCGAAAGAAAAAATTTCAAATTTGTTTGCGCTCAAATTCACTGCGTCATATTCATTCTTGTTTTGATGTCGAAACAGTAAAAAAAATTGAAATAAAATAAAATACAATTTAAATTAAATCCGCACATATTTTACATGTTTTGTTGTTTGTCATATGATTTCGCAATATATCATAATATTTCGTCACCATTATTGCGAATTCATACGACAAACAGCGAAACATGTAAAATATGTGCGGATTTAATTTAAATTGTATTTTATTTGATTTAAAATTTATTTTTTTTATTTTTTTATTATTTTTTCACTGTTTCGACATCAAAACAAGAATGAATATGACGGAATGAATTTGAGCGCGAACAAATTTGAACTAAGTGTTGTCATCACTCTGTAGCGGCGCTCTACAATTGTTCGCCCTTTCGTTATCATCGTGCGATTTTATCGCATTCGTATATGTCAACACCATTATAATATATATATATGTTTATCTCGGTTTGCGATGACACAGTGATTTGTCATAAATTTCTTTTGTGTACATATTCGTGTACGTTTGAATGTCGATCTTTCGTAGTGAATATCTACGACTAGTGTTGGGATGATTAGAAATGAAATTAATTGTTCTTAAAGATGGAATTTACGGTGAAAAATGTTCCCTCATAGGAGCCCTGAATATAACACCATCTAACGAGTTCTATCGAAAAGCGCCAATATATTCACATATCTATGGGTGAGATTGAGAGTGGAGTATGTTTTTTCTTCGATTTATATTTTTGAAAAGGCGAGTATGTTTTCTGATGATTCTGTTGGCGTTAAAGTAGAGTATGTTGTAGTACCGCCTAGCCTCCGCGGTCTTCATGGTTTTCACGCAACTGATAAAAGATAACAACATGGTGTCTTCAGCAAAGTTGTAGTACTTGAGGTCTTCTATAACTAAGCTGAAGTCAGTTATCTCTTATCTCTTATCAGTTGCGCGCAAATCGCGCACATAAAAAAGCAAATTTTATATAGAACTTTTTTTTCTTATCATTTTTCGCGCTTTTCGCGGAACTGATAAGAGATAAGAGATAACTGTCTTCAGCGATGTTATAGAAGACCTCGAGTGCTACAATTTTTCCGAAGACACCAAGTTGTTATCTCTTATCAGTTCCACGGAAACCGTGAAAAACCGCGAGGACCCGCTAAAAACGAACATACTCGCTTTTAACCATTTTTAAGTCGACAGAAACTTGCTCTTCTCTTTCGTAACAAAGTCAATCAAACATACACTACTCTCACTCTCACCCATAGATATACACAAATTGCGGTTTGATATAAATTTGGGTTCAAATCTCGACTATAACTATTATATAGTAGGCTTTGATACTATATAGTAGCCCTTGCTATAATATGTTGTCATTGAAATGCTTAATAAAATAGTTAGTCTTATAGTCACAATCATAACTACCAGTCTCAATACTTAATATTGGCGACAAGCTCGAAAGAACCTTCGACTTAATTCAAATATAACAAAAAAATAATCACTGAAAAATGGCTGAAACTCCGTCATCTGATCATTTCGAAGAAGCTGATAATGGAGAATCTACATTCATGGCCTTTTTCCAAGAGTACATGCATCAACAAGAGGAACGACACTCCCAAACTCAAGAAAACATCACTCAATTGCTGAATCATCTTCAAAACTCGGGAAACATCAATCAAATCGAATCAATTACAGGAGCACCTCGACAAAAAACGAGACTGAATTCCTGATCGAATCACTTTCAAATTCAA